TATTGCTCAGAGATAAACAGAAATGGCTATCAAACCACGTGAAGACATGGAGGAGCCATCCATGTGTACTGCTGGGTAAGAGGAGCTCTTCTGAAGAGGCCCACACTGTATGAATCCAGTGACAGAACATTCTGGAAATGGCAAGGACACAGAGACAGTGAGAAGGTCTCAGGAGTTCAGGGGGAGGATGGAGGGGTGAAAGGTGGAGCCCAGGGCATGTTTAGGGCAGTCGTGCTGTGCTGCTGGTGTTGCGCTGCTGGACACGTGATGTGCTGCATTTGTCAAAGCCCACAGGACCACACAGCAAAAGGAGTGAGCCTTCATGAAGTGTGGGCTTTGGTTAGTAATGGGACAGTAACGGGACACTGGTACTGGTCCATTGGTAGCAGTGAATGGAGCACGTGAATGCCACGTGCTGCAGGAAGAGACGGTGTGCAGAGGGGAATGGCAGTGTGGTGCTCTGAGCTATGTGCTTAATTTTTTAGTCAATCTAAAACTGAACAAGAGCCTACCAGTTCTATATTAAAAAGACAATGGAATCAGGAAAAAAATCAGAGAGTTCCTGTACACTGCTTCCCCAGGCTTCCCCAGTGAGAGAAGCCTGCACCCAGAGCCCCCGTCAGAACCAGGAGGCATGCTGGCTTGGTACTCCTGACTCCAGTACTGTCCTTGTTTTCAGATTTTGCCACTTTTTATATACAGTGGCTTTTTGGCAGGAGGTGATACTTCTGGGAAGTTTTATCATGTGTAGGTTTGTATAGCATCTCCACAACCAGGACAGAAACCTTTTCTATCGTCATCTAAGGAAGCTAGCTCCCTGTGGTAACCAGGACAGAGACCTGTTCTATCATCCAAGGAAGCTCCCCATGGTACCCCAGCCCCAGAAGCTCTGACCTGTCCTCCATAGCTCCTTCTCTCTGAGAGTGTTACACAAGTGAAGGCATGCAGCCTGTGACATTTAGACTGGCTTCTCACTCTGCATGATGCCCTCGCGACCCAGAGAAGGTGCAGGTGTATCAATAGTTGGGTTTTTAATTTGCTTTTGACTGAGTACTGTGGCATGGTGTGATATACCAGTGTATCTACTCAGTTCTTGCAGTTTGGGCTATTTCAAATCAAGTCACCACTAGAAACATTTGTATTTAGGTTTTTGTGGGAACCTGAGCCTTCATTTCTCTGGGATAAATGCCTGAATGCAATTCCTGGGTTGTGAGTGCATGTTTAACTTTGTGAGAAACTGACAAACTTTATTTTAGAATGGCTACACCACCTTCTTACATCCCACCACCAGAGTATGGGAGTTCTGTTGCTCCACATCCATGCCAACACTTAGTACTGGCAGTATTTTTACTTGAGCCATTATATAGATGTGTAGTGATAAATCATTGTAGCTTAACTTTACTCTCCACATGGCTGAGGCATTGGGCATCTTCTCATATGGTCATTTACTGCCCATCTATCTTCTTTGGTGAGGCATCTGCCAAGTCTTTTCCCCATTTTTTAATTGGATTTTTGTGTTTTACATATTCTGGCCCTTATAGATTCTGGATACAAGTCTAGTGGGCAGTGATTTGTGGCTCTTCCTCCCTATCTTCTCAGTCTCCTCGTGGGCTTTGGCAGAGCATCCTTTGCATTCTGAACCCTTCAGTAACTTCACATTGCTTCTAGAAACTCTTTGCCATAGCCCACAAGGTCTCACTGGCTTCCCACTTTCCTGCCCCAAACTCACTGCCTCTCTTGTGGCTCAGGTTCCTAGGGGAGGGTCTTGTGGACACTGGTGCCCACCTGCTCTCAGTGTGGCTCAGACCTGTGTGGCTGAAACCACAGGACACGTCCTCTAAGTGAAAGCCTGAACTAGCAATGGGTACATATGGAACCGTGGGATTCCATGGATGCCCCTTGGAGCCTGTGCCAGATGCCACCATAGCCAGAGGTCTCTCCTTTTCCCTGAGATACTTGGTTCATGCTGGGCTCTGGACACCACTAGCCCTTGCTTGGCAGGGAGGCTACCACCTCAAGTTGCCTCTGGTTTTCCTGTATTAAGCTGAGAGGCTGACCCTTGGCAGGCACCTGGATGTCCAGCCTGCCACTGAGCCAGGCAATAGCCTGCAAGGCCAGCCATGTTGTGAGAACCTGGCCAGCCTCTACTTGGCCAGCCTCTATCTGACCAACTTCACTTGGCCAGCCTTACTGACCAGCCTCACCTGACTGGGTGGACCTGCCACATACTCTGGGTCTCTCCCCATTGGCCCAGTACATTGTGCTCTGTGGCCTCTGTCTGGACCTGCCACACACTCTGGGTCCCTCCCTGTCAGCCCATTGCCTTGAGCTTTCTGTGGCCTCCGTCTGGACCTGCCACACACTCTGGGTCCCTCCCTGTCAGCCCATTGCCTTGAGCTTTCTGTGGCCTCCATCTGGACCTGCCACATGGGTGTGGGAACCTCAGTGGTTTGTGGTTTGGGCTCCCATTTCAGTGTGACGAGGTGGCAGCTGACTGCTGCAGGAAGCATCTGTCATTTGAAATGATGACTGCAGAGGGGAATTTGCCTTTGTAATGGATAAGAATCCAGCCCCAGGACAGTGGCAGGAGCCACACCCTGCCATC